GGATGTAATCTGTGCAATTGAGAAGATACAGTCATTTTAATTTTGGTTTGTTACTTTAGGCCTTTTTGCTGTGAGTGGAAGAGATAAATAAAAATCTCATATTAAAATCACAGCTGATTAGTAGTTTTACCTCAATCAGAAAGACAAGATCAGAACTGTGTCTTATCTGTGTGAGTGAATGTGTCATATGAGTGCAGGTTAAGATGCCGCTTACCTTGAGTGAACAATTATAACCATTATACCGCCGTTTAAGTCTGTTGCTTTCAGAGAGAGGGTCTGAATGGGCAGGAAGCTGTGTGAGTGTTGCTCACCACCTGGCAATCTACCTGTGAATTGCTTGTGGGTGTGAAGGAGGGCTGTGAATTTCATTAATCAGCCTGTCTGACGGGTCTTCATAGCCGTCGCAGCGGCAGCAGTTAGAAGACACAAAGCTGGCGTATTTGTCACTTGGCCCAGCTGTGCACCAAAAACATCTGGTGCTGGATTCAATCACTCACTCTACATGCACCGATGTGATTTGTATACATCAAGTAGTGACATGAGAGTAAATCTGTTGAGAATACGTGGCGTAAAATGATGCGCAATAAATAGTGGAGCACAGCTTTTGACGTTTAACCCTCTGAACCTCAAGCAGGTTCGAAGCATTTTTGCTTCGGTCATGTTTCACCTCACCGTGGGCTCATTTTTCACTGCAGTACAAAGTCCTGCATCTCAATGAAAACAACACAACCGTGGCTAGAAGCAGAGAGAACTCAAAAGTATTTGAGTTAGAATGCAATAAATCATGAAAGGAAAAAATTAAAGTCACAGATGAGTCATTCTCGGAGTCTGAAAAAGTTGAAAATCTAATTTTTCTTTTCCCCCTCCAGTTTCTAGCTTTGATAAATGGTGTGTCTTTTGCTATTTTAAAAGTATTTGGGGATGGATTTTAATTTTATTCATACCTCTTGGCTTTAAAGAATCCTTTCAGCAGGTTAATTTTCAGTTCATCTCACACATGAAACTGAAATGGGATCTGTACTTGGATACATCATGTATTTTGGGTGGATCTGCCTGAGGACGCATGCTTCTGTTTTATTTTTTTTGAAGTATTATCCAGTTTTGAATACAGTCTACTCAGTGTGCTTCTGTTCATGAGAAGCTTGGGTGAAAACAGCAGCCAACGTCTGTCACTCTCTTTATCAGTCGAGCATTTCCCTATGCTCAAATGCAGTTTGGTCAGGATAGATTTGACAGGAACAAATTAAAATACAGCGTCAGTGATGCTGTAACAGCAGGTGTGAGTTTGCCTCATGTGAAAATGAAAGTGTCAATGGATGTGTAAATTTTGATCTAAATGCTATTAATATCGGCGCATGACAGATTGATTCGCTGAACCTGCCTTCGGTTTTTGCTCCTCCAGCACCAAGCGCTTCCCTGGGTATGATGCAGAGAGCAAGGAGTTCAACGCTGAGGTCCACCGCAAGCACATCATGGGCGTCAATGTGTCCGAGTACATGAGCTACCTGATGGAGGAGGATGAAGATGCTTACAAGAAGCAGTTCTCCCGCTTCATCAAGAACGGAGTCACCCCTGATGCGGTAAGTTGTCCTTCTTTAAATGTTTCAGAAACAGTTAGTAGGGAAATGGCATTGCTAAGTTGTTTGAATTGATCCGGCCAGGGACAAATGTACAGTTTTGGGGGTTTTTTTTAGCCAGTTTTGGTAATGGTGATTTCATAAAAGACATTTATGTTCATCAAATGGTGCTAAATAACAATCAAATGCATAGACTTCTATCCAGTGAAGTAACAGACTCTGTCTTTGCTGTACACCGGTCGATTGTGCTCAGTCGTGCGTAGTCGCCCCCCAAAGTCCCATAATGCCAAAAAAATCCTGATCTCGTCTCTGTATGTACTGTTTTTTTTTTTTTTTAGGCTTTTCCTTTGGTTTTATTTTTTTAGTCGTAATTGTTTTTTTCAAAATAAAAGCACCAAATCTGTCAGAATTCAGTCTAGACAGTGTTTGGAACAGATGAAGTGTTTCCTTCCTTTCCAAACAGATCCATTATTCAGCCATTTTTTGTGTGTGTGTCCAAATAATTGATATTTATTCATTTGAACAGCATAATTCCAGTGACAGAGCAGTATCGATCTTTTCAAATGTCAGATAACAGTTTGAGATGCAGTGCGGATCCGTTCTCTCAGCCAGTCTCAAATTTCATGTCAATTTTTCAGACTAAGTCGTTGACTAAATGCTATAGTTTATAAATGCATTCATCAGTCATAGTAATTCATATCTTTGTGAATCTCGACAAACAGCATTTGCTCAGACAATCTGTCAAACTGGAGCTTATGACTTGTTGATTTACTGCACGACAAGCTACAGGAGCAGGATTTAGACGACACCTGGACAGATGGTAGAAACACCTGCTTTAAGATTTGCCCAAGACAGACGAACATGGGGAGCAGAGTTTTGGATAAATGTATCCTGATCTGTGAACTGTAAAGCTGATGTAGTCGAGGAAGAAGCACTTTAAAAAACAAGGTGTTAAAGCTTATTAATATTCGGGCTTTTCACACTTTCTTTCTTGTATTTCTGAAGTGATCAGAACCCACTGTAGCGAGTACACCTCTGTTTCTGCAAATAAATCATTTACTTTTATCACTGTTGTGGAAGAAACATTAAATAATTGCAGTTTCTGTAATCGGAAGAATGCGTTGTTGAAGCAGGAATCTGGTTTTGAACATGACGAGTTGTCTTTGTTTCAGATTGAGGAAATGTACAAAAAGGCTCATGCCTCCATTCGTGAGAACCCAGTCCATGAAAAGAAGCCTCCCAAAGAAGTCAAGAAGAAGAGGTGAGAACTGACACTTGGTGTTATTTTGAATTATTCTAACGGCTTAGTAATGCCTGTTACAATAGTCAGAGTCTGACCTTTTAAATGTTTAGAGAGTATGTGTTGACTTTCCTACTGACTTGTGTCTTCAGGGTTCTCACCAGAGATTTTTGACAGCGTAGCGGGGGGGTTGTCTTGGCGACACTCCCTGGCTAACTTGCATGTATTCAGGCACATATTGAACAGCAAATTGCAGTTTCTCTACCGTTGTCTTTCCTGTTAATGAGTAGCAGCGAAGACGGTCTTCGCAAACAGCAGCGAAGACGACGGTGGAGAAACTGCACCTTGTTGTTAAATATTTGCTTGAATACATGTAAGTTAGCCAGGTACACTCAACGTAGAGAAATGATCATTTTCCCGCAACATACCCTCAAAACAACGTAACGGCTCAATTTGCGATGTAGTTTTTTCAGGCGGTAGCGTAACGGGTCGTTACTGTTATAACGCTAGCGACAACCCTGCATCTTTTGTAACTAACCACACTAACGATGTTAATTGAAATTCGAGATGCTAATTGTGAGCGCTTCTCTGACAGGTGGAACCGTGCCAAGCTCTCTCTTGCCCAGAGGAAAGACCGCGTCGCCCAGAAGAAGGCCAGCTTCCTCCGGGCTCAGGAACAGGAAGAGGCAGACTGAGGCGTTGGTCTGCTCTGTTCCTAACGCAGAAATTTGTTCTAATAAATCTATTGAAAAAGACTCAATCCTCCTGCGTCCTTTCTCACACTACACTTAGCAGTGGCCTCTTGATACCAAGTTGAATTATAAAAACACAAGAGCTTTTATTTTTACGAGGTGGTATCTAGTGTGCTTCAGTGTAATCATTTCTGTACTTACCACACACAAGTCTCTGTTCGTGGCTTGGCTCAGTTTTGTATTAGCAGTGCCAGAGTTAGGTGAAATTAAGACGTTGTAGGAATGTAGACAGTGCAGGTTCTTAAGTAAATTTATTAATTTATCTTTGTCCTGGTTTCAAAAATTGCACTTTCTTAGCTTACTGCAGTATCACTAACAAAGTAGTACATGATTTAATATTAAAATGACATTCCTGACAGCAGTAGAACTAACTTAAAATACATCAGTTATATATGTAAAGTTTTTGATATAAGGGGAACATTATAGCTGTTTCCACAGTGAAAATGATTGTCCATTATTTTTAAAAACATCGGGGGACAGGAATCGGTCTGTGTGCCAAGAGTGCAAGACTTGCTTATTTATTAGGAGTCTTTTGTATGAGAGATTTTCTTCCATAGCAAAGTCTTGAGGTTGTTCAGAATGAGCGAGTGCTCGATTTCCATCTGCTCTGCTGAACCTTTGAGCGCGATGCAGGCGTACAGCTGCTTCTCCAGCTCCTCGCTCACGTCAGACGGCGCTCCCCTCAGGATGTAGTCCTTGAGTGCTTCGCAGGCTTTGGCTAAGTTTGGCCTGGTGACCTCGGGTGTGCAGCGATGCTTGGTGAGGTCACAGGAAGTGAGGCAGTCGGCCCCGTACAGGCAGTCCTCGTCCACGTCGCACCGCTGCTGCCTGATGTCCTCTTGGAAAATGGCCTCGGGGACGATGTAGCGCGCGTCCATCACCTTCAGGTCGTGGCGGTCGTTGTAGCCGAAGCTGGTGGCGCTCACGTCGCACATGAGGAAGCTGCCAAAAGTGCCGTGGAAAATGTCCTCCACCAGCTCCAGCAGTCCGATGGAGATCTTGGCCTTGTGTGGCCAGGAGGGGGTGAACCACTGGTCCATGCTGCGGCGCAGACCAGCAGGAATCCACACCTCGATGATCCAAGGTACGCTAATCCCATATAAAGGAGAGTGCGGCACCTTCTCCATCACGTACAGGTCTCCACAGAAGCCCAGTAGCTTAGGCGTGTGCTCTCTGTCTTGCAGGACTAGTGCTAACAGGAACTCGTTGAGCTGCAGCAGGGCCCACGTGGAGCGAGCCTCCGGCAGTGAGATGTGGCCGTCCTTGTTGGCATCTGCTATGGACAATACTTGGGTTGCCAGGTCTGCGAGGTTTGCCTGATCCCCCACTTTGGCCTGTAAAGAAATTAAAAGGTTTTTAAGTCGAGCCAAGTTTTGAATTCAGACTCAGCAGTGTTGAGTTTTCTAGGTCCCATATTGTGCCCCCTTGGAGCAAATTCATTAAAATCTCACATGTCCCCAGAATTTCTTTTGATTTTTCAATTTAAAACACTGCAAAGATGGTTCATTGCTCTGAAGTGACTGCAGGTAAACATATATTCTTAATGTGCTTGGTTTCAGTCACTGTTTCATACTTTGTCGCACAGAAACAGAAGAACATGTAAACGAGAACAGCTTTATTGGGAATTCGACTGTATTAAAAAACAGTATATGTGAGCACAGAAAACAGGAGAGAAGTAAATAGATGTAAACACCTGATGAGGTCCGAGTTGCAGTGAAGCACAACAGGCAACACAACAATGCAGAAACCCACCCAGTCTATTGGTTTCAAATCGTTTCTAAAACCCATATGGTGAAAATCAGTTTTTATTGTTTTGTGATTGTTATAAAGTTGGAGGTGTAAAGTTAAAGTTGTTAAATATTAAAGACATTTACTTCTGCCATTCCTCAAGCCCCTCCATAACTAGATGGCCTCCCAAGTGTACAAGCCACTCAGGTGCTACCTCACAGCTAACAAACCAACAGCTGTCCAGCTCAAACTTTGTACAATCCTGCTTTCTCTTTGGCTGCAAGAGTGAACACATGAGTCTTCATGCACTCCCAGCATTTGAGAAACTGAACACCCGTTGGAATAGTTTCATTACTGATGCCAACGTGCCCCAAACCCTCCTTGGTTGTACGCCCACTGGTCAAACTGTAAAGCTGAGGGACATTCAGAGACGTTTTATGCACATTTTTAGCTCAACATTTATTGGTTCTTCAGTTTCTACTGAATAATTGTTATTGCTTTGTAAAGCTGAAGACCATCTAGTTGAGGGGGGCTAGACAAACTGCAGTATCAAGCATAGATATGTATAATAAAGGCTAGATGTCTTAAGGCGGCATTTCGAACGGGATCACCCTTTGGCCATCTTGATTCGGGGCAGCCCTCTGGTGGAACCTGTGGTACGTGAAGGAAGGTGAGTGATCTGCACAAACGTAAATACTCTTATCTCACTGAAATCTTGACAGATTTACAAACGGTTTGGTTTCTTACAAACGTTGTTAACGTGGCTACAATTCAAATTACAAAAATAAAATACAAAATAATTCAAATACAAATTATTGTTGGGCGTGAGAGTGTAACATAATTATCCATAAGCGCAGTGTTATAACTACACCTCTGACGTTTATAACAAACCAAAGCGTTTGAAAATCGGTAGAAAATTGAGCAAGCTATGGTTATTTAAAAAGTACATGCACCACTACAACACAATGTTATGGGTGAGCGAGTGTACTGAATCAAGATGGCCGCCAGTGTGGCTGTGCGATTCCATTGGCCGACAGCACCGACGAGACATCTAACCTTTATTATATATATCTACAATATCAAGTGTCTTCATAGTCTCACAGCTTTTACTTGACACCTCCAAGTTTATAACAACCACACATCACAATAAAGATTGATTTTCACCACATGAGACCTCTCATGAAGTCTTTCTGACCTTTAGGTGGTTGAAGATCATCTCTCTGAACTTCTCCACAGAGGTCCCCTTGGTGGGCTTGCTGAAGGTCGCGGCCTCCTTCCTGGGCTCCATCTCGCCTCCTAAATCGTAACGAGGAGCCTCCTCCATCTGGCACTTAATGACCCCCTCTAGGTCTCCCCAGCTCCCCGAGTACACCTAAAATAAACAAGGTAGGCCTGAAGTGCAGCTGGATTAATAAAAACGCAGACCGGAGGGGAGAGTTTGATCTAAAAAGGAAGGACTGACCTGACTGTTGGGCTTGGCAGTGAAGCACTTTCCCAGGTAAAGCGTGTCTTTCTCACACAGGCTGCTGCAGGCTGAGCCGTCAATGACTCCTTTTCTGTATTTGTCACACTGAAAGACATGGTGGAATATGAACAGACGTCACAAAAGGAAAAGAAATACGACCTCTGTGGGGTTAAGAGTATCGATTTTCAAGGACAAGATCTGACTGGATGGGCACAAATTTTAAAAACTCACTATTGAATTTTTGCAGTCGTGCCCACGACACAGCTCGGTGTAGGACGAGTACTCCACGTACACAATCCAGCTCCCCACAAACACCGCCAGCCAGGAGAAGAACAGGTACTTCATGTGTAGGTAGGAGAATCTGGCCTGTTGGCGACACATTTCAAATGCATAATTCACTGTTAGGCAAGCGCTAAATTGCTTTCAGTCATCCTTCATTGAATAATACGCAGCACTCTGTTATCTCTGGACGTTCCAGTGCATTAAAATGGCAAACCTGGTGAGATGGATTTTTTTTTTTTTTTTTAGATGTCATACATCATAATGGAGATTAATGAGAGGATGAGACTCATGCTTGTAGCTTGAGGCCGCTCCATCAGTCTTTCATATAATGAGCACACAGCATGTCCCCATCGTGACTTTTGTTCTGGTGAAGCAGCGACCTTAGAGTGTGAAAGTGAAACCAAAGCATGTGACCTGGAAATAGTTCCAAATCTGCTGTCCCACACGCTTCTAAAATCCCCTGCACTGCTGCTAATGTTCAATATTTAAAGAGGTGCTCCATTGATTTTATGCGTCAGTCAGTTTAGCGATCATGAGCCTGAAAAAAATACTCGTATGATATCTTCTGCTACTCTGAAGGCTCTCTGCCGTGTCTGGAGACAGTACTTAAGTGGTGAATAGCATTTCAGGTGGATTTTGAACAGAGTTTGGAGATGTTTAAAAGCGATGGATGAAGACAGCCTCCAACTGCTTGTGTTATCATTATATTAATTGAATTTCCCTTCTGGGATAAAATAAAGTATTTTTCATTTCGTTTCATTGTCAGGAATGTAAAATCTGTTCTTATATCAGTTCATTAAAGTGTGGGCATCTCTGATTTTCCTGCTTTGATTCAGACCCTAACTAAAAATGATTTTGGTCTTTGGCGAATCTCCCAACCTAATGGAAGCACAGTCGTCTTCAAATGTATTCATACCCTCATGTTAAAGAAAAGGCAAAAGTCACAATAGTCACTCAAATAACTAGAAACTGAAATAAGTAAAAATAAATAAAAATTTGCTAAATTATAATTTAGTGAAATAAGACATTGCTTTTGAATTGTGGTTGAAAAGAACAATTTAAAAAAACCAACAAAAAAAACAACTGTCCATGTTTTTTTTTCATGTTCTATAAGGTGTTCCACATGTGAAATGGGTCTTTATATAAAGATAATACACCTGAGCTCATGTGATTCCATAATGCAAGCTCTGATTAATTACAAACTCTATGTGGCAGTGGGCAGCGGGGTTTCTCTACAGCTGCTTGTGGAGAACAGTGTGAATATCTGGATGCTTTGAAGAAATACAGCACTGAAGTAACACAGGAGCACAGAAGGAAGAAATATCCAATATGAGGGTGTGTGATGTATAATGTATTGATTTGCTTCAAGGCAGCTTCGGCTGTGATAGAAACACCAACCAGGGTTTGCTGGAAAAATATAACTGTGCTGAATTCAGCAATATATGACTGAGAACTGCAGATATGGTCAGTGGTTTAAAAAAAATGTATGATGCAAGCAAAATTAAATGCCTATTAATGTCCAGTCAGCCTAGAAACTACAAATACACTTCAATCAGGGAGAAATTGGAGGAGACTGCAGGTGGAAGGTTTTGTCTCAGCTTTAATTTAAGAAGAAAATAAATGTTGTGAATGCAGAAGCAGTCATTTGTCCCGGCAAAAAACACAGTTATCTGCGAATATATACTACTCACACACTTTCTTGCTTTTATCATATTTTGAATGCAGTGTGTTATTTTGTTTGGACAGTCAAGAAAAGATGCTTAACTAATGATTAAATCAAGGAGAGAAATTTTAGTTTAACCTCTTAAAACCCGAGCTCTTATTTGATATGCATCTTTTTATTTTATAAAAAATATAAAGAATATAAAAAATTATGTAAAACAAATATATAACAAATATTTAAAAAACAAAGAAAAAAATGGAAAATAAGAGTAAAAAATAAATAAATAAAATAACAATAAAATATTTTAAAATTAAAAAAAAAAATAAAAAATTAAATACTGTGGTAATATAACCCAAAATGTGATGTCCAGTGGAAAAAATGTGTTGATAGTTGAACTGATTAACAATGACATCTTTAAAAGCATAATCTAATTGGCAGTTTGTTTTGGCACAGGTTAATAAATCTACTCTGTCTTTTTAAAGACTTTCCTTTGAGATTAATAACATTTCATCTCATCTTTTTTAATTTGAGGAAGCAGCTTCAGAGGAGGTGGAGTGGCTTTTATTAACTCCATATCAGCCTTGATGCACCTCGCATGGCATCTTGAGGATGTCTGCGTGTGAAAACAGATGAATCAAAGTCAAAAAGTAAAATGTTTTGGAGAAATGCAGCCGCTACCATTCTGTATTTGGCCAGATGGGGGCAGCAGATCAACTCGTTCATGCAAGATTTACATTATCCCCTGGTAGAGACGATACAGCTAAGGCGTTAGCAAACAGGAACAATAGCCATCATATTCCTAGACAGTGATTACTTTTATTCCTTTGCCTTTAAATTTTCTTTTCTTCCCCCATTCTTATATTTTTAAAGGATAGTTGCATACGATCCATCAACTTGTTTGAACGACTGCTACAAGTATAAAATATACATACAGCTTAGCTTAACATTACTTTCCTTTTCTTTAACCCTTTTTTATGATAATGCTTTACAATTTTACAATGTTTTCATTATTATTTTTTGCACTACTTTTGGTCTCCACCAGCTCCTGAGGGAAATAACTTTATTTATACACGACCTTTGAAACACAACGTTACAAGGCGCTGCACAAAGCAGGCATCAAGATACACAGGATTAAACCAAGCAGACAAAAACACCAAATATATTAAATAACAAAATGAAAATAACCACAAAATAAAGAATAACAACTATGCAGACCAACAAAGCAAAGATATGAAACACCAAAATAACATTTACGAGAACTAGATACAACATTATACCAACTAATAGGCTGAGTATTAATCAATCAATTGCTACAAAAGAAAGTTTTCAATAATGTCATTTCAATATTTAAAAGATCACAAATGTAAGACTTTGAAGACAGGTCTTAAAATCTTAAAATATGCTAACTGCTTACTTTATAAACTGACCAAGACCTAGTAGACAAAACTAAACTCTTGTTAACACAGCAAATCATTCTCAGTTAAAATAAATGTAATAAAACTTGAGAAAATCGCAAACCATTAAATGGTGTGAAGATACAGTTTTGTCTCATCAGCAGAACAGTGAAAGCTGCATTTCAGTAAGTCCCTGAGTATTACAATGTGTATTTTCAGAAATCACAGTCTGATAAAAGTCAATAAAGCAATCTTTAAATCTATTTGGTCTGCCGGTGAGTAAGTGGAATACAAATGAGCTCCGAACTGAGCTGTGTGGCATCATTAATACAACTTCTTCTAAATAGGTGCTCGGTAATTAACAGTTTGTGGAACATTTAGAGCGACTGCGGACTCATTACCTTGCCTTTTGATTTGCTTTCTAATTCCCCAGCTGATAAAATATACAGTCTGCTCGGATCCATAATGGCATCCGTCCAACTGGAGGACATCAGTGTAAAATAACAGACTTTGTAGCAGCCCTACTTTCCCGTCTATTAATGATTCTTGCACTCAGGAGCTGACAGTGATGGACTCCCCCTGCCGCCACCCTCTGCCCCTTTCGCTGCCAATTTATTTATTGGCATAAGTCTCTCTATCGCCGTCTCCTCTCTGTGACACTCGGCGCTCCATCTTCTGCTTCTGACCCGACGGCAGTTTTAAAAACAGTTTAACACAATGTAAGATAATTTGACAATGTCGGAAATACGGAGAATTATTTTCAGCATTGAAAAGCAGATGACACTATATTTGTCATTTTTATCTCCCTCTAAATGGAACTCGTGTCCATTTTCTGCTTTTAACACCACAGATAATGCAGAAATCAGCTTTCAGGCAGCCTCCACATGTCACTCTGTAATCAAATTTCTCTCCCTGCAGCGGTCGTAAATCTCAATCTCTTTCTATATTATCCTCCTGTTTTCAGGAAATAGTAAATCGGGAAATTTTTCAGACATTGCCATGAGATCATTTCTGTGAATTTGGCCACTTGTGGGCAGACTATCAAATTACGTATACAGCTCGGGCAGTAGTATGGTATGACTTTGAGATAACATGCGGTTTACATATCGAGTAGACATGCAGCAACATTCATTTGTGTTTCTGGCCAGCTGACAAAAGTCCAATATTCACTTGTTTTCCACTCTTGAGAGAAAAATCTAGTTCTAAATGTTCCATTGTGTTCACCAAACCGTGTCTTTGGTGTTGGGAAGGTCGTGCACAATAGGTTTAATTGTGTTTTGCACTTTCATTGTAGAGATTCAAACTGTTTGCACAACAACGCCGTATATTAGAGCAAGAAGTGTAATATTCCTGCAGCTTTCAAGAAAAAAAGGCCAGATTTTTATATAAACTTTTTTTGTTGTTTTCAGTCTGACTTAAAGGAAACAAAAATTAGCCACCTAGCAGGAACATTTAGGAGGTTTAACTTAGGAAACAGTTGTCTGGTGTGACCTAAAAATGACACTGATGAGAGTAATGGAGCTGAATGGTAACATTAAAGTTGAGGGACACAGAAACATTAAAAAGCCCCGTAACAGCATTTCTTCTGATCAGCCACAACAACCACCTGCCTCATATTGTCTTCGTCATGCTGGCACAACTGCTTCGACCCACTGAGTCCCGGACTCGTGCCGGTGCTATCTGCAGATATTTGAAGTCCCAGAAGATGTTTAGTTGGGCCTCCACGGATCAGACTTATCTCAGCACATCTGACAGATGTTCGATCGAATTGGGATCTGGGGAAGTCGTCACCTTGAACTCTTTGTCATGTTTCTCAAACCATTCCTCAACAATGTTTGCAGTGGAGCAGAAAGCCTTATCCTGGCCACTGCCAAAATACTATTTGGGAATTTATTTTATTATTTTCTAAATGAGACCTGCAGAATAAAGTGATTGCAAAGCTTAGATTTGGTTGACTTTTCTGACAGAACTGTACTTGACACAGGATTTGTTCAAGAACCATCCTAAAGTTGAAAAATGTGATGATTTCTTCTTTTTTTTTAAATGGTTTGTGGGTCTAATAACATGTCTGTCAAACCTGCTGATGTGTTTTGGGGGTCAGAGGGTGAATCAAAAAAATATTAGGTAGTGCAGCTTTTATTTTTCTTCTAAAATAATATTCAATAAGATAAAATCAAAGAAAGAATTTTATGCATTCACAGAAATGTTTTCCAAAGAATTGTCAGTCGACTGAACAAATGCTAAATGTGTTCTCAGTATCTTTTAAAATTACTTTTTGATTATGATCCCATTAGCAGACACTAATATTACAGCATACACATACAAATCATTCCACCAACACCTCACAGAAATAGGAAACGATCCGATTATCAGTCACCAGCCATTTAACTCTTGCTATTTGCATCCATTTATTGGTTTTCTTACAAATCTGACCATGCAGACAAACAGCAGACTTAACAGCAGCGGCTACGGGACTGAGTGCTGCGTATACATCCCATCAATTTTTCCACAGGTGTAATGCATCAACAGCAAGAACATTATGGAGATAACACTCTGTGGGGGAAACAAATGTATGGTCGGCCTTTTTCCAATCGATAGTTTGTGGCTTTTATTTCAAGTCTGGCCGATGCATTTCTATCCACAGGATTATCTATTGACCCTTTGTGAGCGGAGAGAGTTACACAAACATGGCTAATGAGGCGATATTGATTGTGGCTGCTGTGACAGCTATTAATTAGAGACTGACTGGGAGCTGTGGCTGTGTGCTGAGGTGGGTGGAAAGAAACGCTCGGTCTTTATCTGGTTGAACTCCTTCCTCCACACAGCCCTGTAACAGAGCCTCCTCTATTCAAACCTTGTTAACTCTGAAGATTCTGTGGATTTGCGCTCAAAGAATCGAGGACATACTGTACTGCTCGAGAGCGTCACCTGATGTTGAGCTACTGAGGCAGAGAGGAGATTAAAGCTGATCACGAGCAGCACATTACTGTTCTGACACTTGGTTTTTGCAGCCTGCACACCATTCATCCATTATGTATGATTATAAAGCTATCCCTCAGAGGTTGCCGTTTAATGGGCTGCTGTGCAGAGCCCAGAAAGACATGAAGACACAGAAACAAAAGATGCAGAGGGCTGCAGGAGCACAGCTCGTCTGGTATCACTGACAAACGTAAAAAAGAGCGGCGGGTTATGCATGTAAAAAGTGATCCAGGCAAAGTGTTGGTGGGGAGGATCTCCTGAGGGAGTCCGGCAGGCTTCTGCACTTCTTACCTCAGACTCTCTGAAGGAAAAATGATGCCACAGTGTCTGCAAGACACTCCAAAGATCTGACTCATCACAGTCCAGACAGCAGGCAACCCACCCGTCACACACACACTCCACCTCCACCCCCACACACATACAAAGCACGCATTTCCATGCTGACTCAATACTGCGACAATAACACACACAAGAACATTACTTTATCAGCAGCTGTCATGAAGCTCGAAGCCTACAATGTACCATCAGATGCTTGGAGCTCAACAATGCCCACAGCAAAGGACTGCACGGGGGTATTCCTCCACAGACTGCAGCTTCCAGTCACAGCTGAGCCGACAGAGCAGAACTACTGAAAGATGTGGTTACGGATAAAAGGCTACATGTATATTTATAGTGTGGAGCGTTATTGAAATCAAACAGCATGATGACAACAAGTGTACTTACTTAAACACAGCCGTGGCTACAGTGCTGTCTCTCTTATTCTTGTGCTGCTATCTCTGTGATGTGGAAAACGACTATCGGTGGTTCTTTATTTTTGCAGAATCAGGTGCAACATGGCCAACAAAACGCCAACAGTTGGCAGTTTCCGTAACTTATTTATGATCGCGAAGAATCGTTAAAAATGCTGCACACTCAAGAATATAGAGAGTATATATGCTCGACATAATCACAGTGTTGGATGAGACAAACTCCTTCATTGCTGATGGATTTCTGTTAAAATGTATATGTCAGGATTTACCTATGAAACATGTCAAATTTGCACATACATTATAAACGTGCAAGTGATTCCGCTGTTGAGTTAATATCTGTAAATAAGATACACAACAAGGTAATCATTTTAGTTAGGTCCCAAATATAAAACACATGAGTTAAATACAGATGTGTGTCATATTTGGAAGTTATATTATGGAATGGACTTAGTGATGATTTGAAATTGTGTAGGTCTCTGTTGAATTTCAAAAAAACATCCATCCATCCATTATCTCTACACCGCTTAATCCTCACTAGGGTTGTGGGGGGCTGGAGTCTATCCCAGCTGACTTAAGGCAGGGGGGACACCTGGACAGGTCACCAGTCTATCACAGGGCTACACTTCGAGACAGACAACCAAGCACACTCACATTCACACCTACGGACCATTTAGAATCACCAATTAACCTCAACATGTTTTTGGACTGTTGGAGGAAGCTGGAGAACCCGGAGAGAACCCACGCTGCACGGGGAGAACATGCAAACTCCACGCAGAAAGATGGGCGTCCTAACTGGGACGCGAACCGGCAACCTTCTTGCTGGTGCTAACCACTGCGTCACCTTGCAGCTCCAAAAAAACATTGAAAAGGTAAAATAATTAGGGATTACAATGTAAAATGACTGACGTGTGAAATAAGAAGAATTTAGAGTTATTCTTGTTATGTTTTTTTTCTTTTCTTTTCTTTTCTTCTTTGCATTACTGATATTCTGGGTTATTGTACAGGATAGGCAGAAATAAGCCTCGGCTTCAGCCTATTCCTTTTTCGGCTACAGAGCTTGTTTAATGTTTTTGTGAGAAAAAAAAAAGTTTAATACAAGCATGTATAACAATTCTTTGTCAGCTGAATGCACACAATTCAATTTTTGTACTGTAGATCGCAACCGAAATAAACTATTCATTCATTCATAGGTTCATATTAGTGTGCGCTTCTTCCTGGACATGTTTGGACATGGATATATGTTTATTTACTTAATTTGCTGTATGTGTTTTGCATTCATTTCATTAGTTGTTCTTCCAGTTTTTTTTCTTACTAATTGTTTGTAATAGATTTATTCTTATCTATTTTCTATTCAACATACAGATGACAACTACATTAAATGTACATCCGTGAAACAAACCTACAACATTGAGCCATTAAATAGAAATAGAAAACTGAAGTGATGCTAAAATGGATTGTTAAAATATTGAACTGCTGTCAAAAGCGCTTCATGTAAATGCCAGCATCATGTTAAGTTTTTAAATGGCATGAAACGTTTTAAAACACTTAACCTTGACACTGTGTGTGTTTTGGAGCATCTCTGAATCTGAAGACGCAAATTATCTTTTACTTTTACTTTTACTTACATCTTGATTTCAAACACTCCAGAGGAAAACCTAAGCAGAATCTAAATGGGAATAAGTCCAAAATTTCCTGGCGTCACGGGTCTGATCAGTTTTTTTTTTTTTGCATGGAAATAGCTTCTCTCCCAGGATCGCTGAATGACACTTCTTCAGCTGTCACTGGAAGGCTGAGGTGGCCTAGAAAACTGAGCGATGCTGGGGGCTGTCCCTGGAGAACGGCTGTCTCTTCCTCTTTTCACTGCACTTGACAGTTTTTTTTTTTTTTTTAATCTCTAACATGCATGGGTATGGACAGGAAGCGAACAGCAGCAGCAGCTCAGATAAAATCCAAAATTAGAAAAAAGCAAACGGCTTCAACCGAACGTCTCAGATTAGAAGTATCACCAGTTACAACAGTCTGATGACGAAGATAGCTGTTTGTTTTTTAACCTTATGTGCAAGGAGGACTTTCCACTGGTGGTTTAAGACCTGCATTTGGGTTCCTGAGACCTCCACCTGTCCTTGAGGGGCTTCCCCGGCAGTTTAATTTTACTTATGAAGAATGCCACTGTGGACTTCACCTAATTTCACTCACATCAAACTGTTACATAATGTTCTTCAACAGCTTCCCAGATGAGCACGATCAGGGCATATCAAATACAGGTCTCCAACTCCTACTGAATGACAGCAGCCCATAATTCATAAATATTCCATATGCCTCCACATATGCCGAAGAGAAACTATGGAGACAGTAAATTTGCAAGGTGATGTTAAACTTTTGCAGCCTCAGAAACAGCCCTTATTTTAAATGTATGGCTGTACCAGTTGGATGCAGCATGGATGTGGTTGCTACAGCAACCAGGATCAGGAGGATGGTTGATTCCTTTTAGCCGTCGAGCATCAAGTGAATCATTCTGAGAAACCTGCCGCCACAGGATTCTGCGAATGACCACTAACCCGAATGCAACACATGAAGGTGAAGCGATGAAACGGTGACGAGTCGTATCTTCGCTGGCGGGATTCACCTGAGACACTGAGCGCATGCAGACACACACATACACACGGATCTCCAATTGGACTTTACAAGCAGAGTGAAGAGGGATTTCCCCAGAAGCTTACCTGGACGTACAGAGGCTTTCTGAAGAACCCCCATGGAAACAGACCTCTTGCCATGGCAAATGCAGAACATCTCACAACAGCTGCTGGAGGAATAAATTCGGCGGCTCGTATCAGGCAACGCCTATCGGACTAAACCTGGAAAATTTCCAGATGTCGTGGAAAACATTAGTAATTCAGCCGGCAGCACCCTAGATGGATGGATGGATGGATGGATGGATGCGCGTTTGGACGCAGCGAGGCGGCAGACTGAGCTGCGCCGCCGACTGCAGCGAAGTCAGACTCACACTGGGCCATGCTCACTTGTGAGGGGCGTTCTGACCAATTACAGGAGGAGGATGGAGTCCAGTTAGTTCTGTGTCTCTTCAAACATTGCTTACGTGCAGCCAGTCTGGTTACATTTTGCACACGGGCAATAGATAATCAATAACATAATGCAGAATATGCATGAAATGTGCAGAATGTTGCATGTGAATAGTCTGGAGGATTAATTATTCATCAGTCTTAATTGGTGTTTCCTGGGACACATTTAAATGTGCTTTACTATTTCATAGGGGTAGCTTCTTTTACAGAATATGCATGGCCCACCTCTCTTGATTTGCTATTTAGTCTTCAATTAACTTTGTTATTTAACATTTTGCTGTTTTCATTTTGTCCATATAGTAATATAACATAGTGAAATTAAAAGAGAAATGAAGGTTGTACAGAATAGTATTTAGTTTTGGATGACACCACTGGTGTTGTTTTTTTAGGAAACAATGGCAGTTAAAATTTCCAGATTTGGTGTTGATGAAATTTTGGGATATTTAATTATAACAAAAATATTATTTACTTTAAATTTTGCAATAGGGTTGGTAAACAAGACTCTAAGTACTGAGGTGGTTGTATTTGAGATAAAAGGTCCAATTTGTGCTAAAGAAAAGTATTTTTGTTTTACATAATATGCAAATTACAGTTTCTAAAATAACAATCTGTTTTGATCAGAGAACATTATAATTACAAAACATTTTTTAAAGTCTATTTTTGTGTTCTCGAGGGACCCAGTGATGAGAGGTTTGTTTTTTCAGAAATCATTTTTCTCAGCTGCTGTTTTCCGTCCGCTGTTAGATGTATGTCAGGAGTCATGCTTGGCAACGTTCTCACTTTGTTCTTCTTTAGAAATTCTGGTGTGGTTTTGGCAGTGTGCTGCTTGTTATCATTCTGAAATATTTGGTTTTTTTTGTCAAGCATCTTCAAATCAAATCAAATCAAATCAAATCAGGTTTATTGTCATTTTGCTGTACATACACAGTCGTACAGGCAAGATGAGAGAGCGTTTCTTCAGGATTATTCAATCAGCAAGTTTTGCAGAATGCACGTCTGGGATAAGACACTAAACATTCACTGTCCCTGTCTCCTGAAGGGGGCGCTGTGTCCATGTGCGCCGCCATTCGTTGAACATGGTGAACCTCTTCAGGTCCTGGTAGGTCTTCAGGGACACAAAGACACACATGATGGTGAAGCTGCAGATGCTGCCCAGAGCTAGCTGTCTGTCCGTCCGCCCGGAATAATGTCGTCCCCTCCAGCTGTCTGTCCGTCTGAGATGTTGTCATGGAGACACGTTTCTGTTAAAGCAAACACACAGCGGCTTTTCCACTCTCTGCGGGTTTCTCTTCGCTAACGTAGCTCGTCCAGCTTGTTGTCGAGGGGGCGGACATTGGAGAGTAGGAGCGACGGTCCTGCTGGTCTGTAGGGGTTAACCTTTAGCCTAGCATGGATCCCGGTTCCCTTGCCCCTCCTTTGTTTCCGTTTGTACCGTTGTGCTTTCTCGTCTCTTGGGTAACTGCCAGCGTAGTCTCTGATAGGACTCCATGTTGGTGTAGTATGTCCAAATCACAACCGATCGCCGCAATTCCAGCGCTGTTTACTGTTTGCGGAATGAATGTCTGGGATAGACAAGACACTCAAAACGTTCACTTTCATTGTCTCCTGAAGTGGCGGCTGTGTCTTGAGTTATTCTGTCAGCCAGGATTTTGGTTTACTCACAGACATTCATGGTGCCTCTATAAATGTAATCTATACAACACCTTATGCAGCCCCATGTCATCACACTCTTGCTGCTGTGCCTCACTGTCAGGGCTGTGCATTCAGTGTGGCAGTCCTGGTCAACTTCATCTGAGCCAAACTAATTGTTTTTGGTCTCATCTGACCAAAGAACATTTTATCTATTTATCAGGCTTCTTTTCTGGACCTTTAGGATAGTTTCATCTGGCAGTTCTGTGCCAAAGAGCAAGGAGAACCAAGAAAGATCAGGTGTTCACAGATCATTTTATAACCATGTTCATGAGTTTGGCTTATTGGAAACCACAGTTGTACTCAACTTTGTTTCAGTGATTGCAGTTTTTCTCACGACTAACAGTAATCACAGGTGTTTTTCACGTTTGCTGGACTGAGCTTCTACTGTGGTGTCTGTCTTTTCAACATAGTCTTTCTGAAGTTTTTATGAATGACTGCTCATCAGAGGGGCTGCAAGGTGGAACAGTGGTTAGCGCCGCCGCCTCGCAGCTAGAAGGTCGCCGATTCACGTCTCGGTGAGGACACCTGGGATCTTTCTGTGTGGAGTTTTCATGTTTTCCCCGTGCAGCGTTGGTTCTCTCGTCTGTCTCTAAGTGTGGCCCTGTGATAGACTGGTGACCTGTCCAGGGTGTCCCCTGCCTTCACTCTACATCAGCTGGGATAGACTCCAGCCCCCCACGACCCTAGTGAGGATTAAGCGGTGTATAGATAATGGATGGTCATAAGAGGAAATAACATTAAATCTGCTGACGATTCTTTCATTGTGTCTCTTCTCTGCAGGAATCACCCTGATCCCTGTAGAAGGGCTTCATAGACGCTCTTCTTGGACATTAATGTGTCCAAAACTAAAGAGATGATGATTGATTTTTCAAAGGGTCATCTCTTCTGTGGTGATTAAAGATCAGGTTGTTAAGGTTGTGCAGCTCTATTAATCTCTCGGAACTTTGATCGATAATAAGCTGACCTCTGAGTTTCCTGTGGATGCTGTGTGTTGAGAAGCTCATCAGCACATGTGCTTTTAATTTAAGTTTTGAAGTCTGAATGTTGACATCACCCTAATAAATTTCAATTATATTGAATGAGTCCTCAAATTTACATTTTGTCAGCTGGTACGGGTCACTTACGTGCAAAAATACGATGAGATCGTCTCATCTGTTCAAAGTTAGGCATTTAAAGAAGCCCCGGTCAGTCCTGGCTGATCCGTCCAAAGTGGCTTCCTTCTGCCAACACACAGGACACATACAGCTAAACATTACTTGCCTTTCGCCATTAGTAGATAACTCATTGACTATTTAACATTGTATCTATTTTCTATTTATTATTGTATTGATAATGTGACTACTGCTGGCTGTACAACGATAAAGCACACAAGACGATATAAATGCCTGAAAAACATGCAGAAACAAGAGTTTTCTTCTGAAACTTCTGCAGATTGAGAACACATCAGTGATGAATGGGGTCATTTTAAACCAGAGAAGAATTATCTTTATCCTTAAGCAAATAAACGCACCACGTTTGGCTGTTTTTTGTTGGTTTACAGCCCAACTAGTTAGGTGATATAATGTTGTGTTTCTGGGGTTAAAGCAGAGAAAGACAGATAATTCTTGTAGTGATTATTTGTTGACTAAAGCTAAAGGGAACTCTAAAATTCTGGCCCTGCTACATTTTAAAATCCCTCTCCAGCCGATGATTTTACCAATAAAAACTCTCTCTCTGTGTTAAAGACACATATATTGACTTGTTTTTCTGTTAAAAAATAAAAATAAAATTCCCTTGTACTTCAAAATGCCTCAAGTGTAACTCGACACTGTTGTTCTTCTAGAATATGCACTATAAAACTACTCAGTTGGATTCATGTAGCCATGCATGTTCCTTAGGTTTGTCATATATAAAATCCCAGCAGTCGGAATCAGTGTTTTTTTAAACTGTTATTCTTAAACGGCACTTTCACGATGGAGATAGGTGTTGTGCTGACTACTTATTTCACTCATGATGCATCTTCTAGCACATTAAAAAAAGCACCACAGGGATGAGTTAACAAGGTCAAAAAGAACTTGCTTTACAACACACTCTTTAAAACAAATGACCTCCACTAGTTACAGCAGTGCCCAAAGGCTTCAGGGGAGATTTTTAATGCCTTGCTGGTTTAAAAACACAACAACAAAAACATACAAAAACTAAGAAGTCATTTCAGGCCGACTGTGACAGTCTTGCTGGAGGATGAGATGGGTCTCCTGAGGTGATCCTCAGGGACAAATCTCACAGTTCAGAAGGAGGCTTGTGTCAGCAGAGGAGGATGAACAAGAAGAAGTGGAATCATGAATCACATTTTACTGTATGTTTTGTATGGTGTGGACTATATCTGCCTCCTCTCCAGTAGTATCACACAGAGTAAAATGGTAGTTTCTATTCCATCTGACAGTTTTTGAAGATGAGAATGGATAATATAACAAAATTTAAAAATACAACACATCGTTTAAGGGTAAACCAGTGCTTTCCAACCCTTCTGACCTCTTACAACAAGCAGGACTCACGAGTTCAGCTTCACCAAAGAGTGATTTTTCTAAACTTCTCGCATGCTTTTTATTTCAATAAATGTACCGATGACGATGATCTCTGCCAAAATCAAAAACAAGAACAAACTGAAAACAGAATCCTGTATCAGAACTTTGTTTTTTCTTATTTCAATTAATTATGTGAAACCCCCTCAGATTTGTCTGTTGTCCCTGTATACATAAGTGTAGATAAAGTAGTTTCAGCTCGCTCCACTTGCAGCTGCAGCAGTAACTTGCTGCTGACACACTGATGCTTCATCATGAATAATCTGATGATGCTCAGTCAGAGGGACCAAACCAGGACTAATGGAGTATTTTTTGTGTCACTATATTGGTTCTTTAATTTAAGTAAAGAATGAAGTGTAGAGCATCCTCGTATTTATGTCCTCAGATAACATAGATTTAAATATCATAATAGAAACCCTGAATATTATATTTTTTAACGAT